CCTTTAATCCCAGCACTCAGGAGACAGAGCCAGGCAGATCTCTGTGAGTTCGAGGTCAGCCTGGTCTACAGAGGTTTCTCCGTATAGTTTTGGTACCTGTCCTGGATCTCACTCTGGAGACCAGGCTGGCCTCAAACTCACAGAGATCTGCCTGGCTCTGCCTCCTGAGTGCTGGGATTAAAGGTGTGTACCACCACCACCTGGCCTGTTTTTAGTTTTTAACAAAGAAGTAAGAGGGCTATAAATTTTCTTTAAATTCATGAGTACAGTTAAAATAGCATTTATCCAGGGACTTGGGATATAGCTCAATTAGTTAACACTTGCCTAGCATGGATGAAGCTCTTAATTCCTTCCCCAGCACCATGTGAACTGGAGTTAGTGACATATGCCTTTAATCCCAGCACTTAGGAAGCAAAGGCAGTCAGATCCCTATGGGTTTAGGCCAGCCAAGGCTACACCATGAGACACTGTCTCAAACAAACAAAAAAATAAAGTGGAGCTAGACTGACAGAAGCTGTAGTCAAATGACATACTTTTTCTTTTAAAGGTGTCTCTGTTTGTCTGTCTGAGTCCATGCCTACCTGTCTGGGTATGGGTGTGAATGTTCACAGGAGCCAGAAGGGTGATCAGATCTCTTGGAGCTGTGCTTTACAGGCCTTTATGAGCCATGGGTATTCTGGGATCCAAAATCTAGTCTTGTAATGGAGCAATAAGTGCGCTTACCCCTGAGCCATCTACTTAGCCCTAGTAGCGCACACTTTTTTTCTTTTATGTTTTCTTGCTGAAAGGTAGGTGGGGTGGGGGTGGGAGGGTTTCGAGACAGAGTTTCTTCATGTGGTTTTGGTGCCTGTCCTGGATCTCGCTCTGTAGACCAGGCTGACCTCAAACTCACAGAGATCCACTTGGCTCTGCCTCCAGAATGCTAGGATTAAAGGCGTGCGCCACCACTGCCTAGCCTCTTAAAAATGATACATGTTACATAGTTTTAGCTTGACCCTAAGACAGCTGAACATTTTTTTCCATGTTGTAGTAGTGAATATTATAAAAAAATTACCCTTTTACCCTGGAATTCCTATTTTTTAATTAAAATTCTTTTTCTTTGTGTTTGTTGTATTTGTTTTTGATTTTTGAAAGAGTTTCTCTGTGTATCCCTGGCTGTCCTGGAACTCGCTCTGTAGACTAGGCTAGCCTCGAATGCACAGAGATCCTTCTGCCTCTGCCTCCTGAGTGCTGGGATTAAAGGCGTGCGCCACCACTGCCTGGCCTAAATTTTTTTTTTTCCATGGGATACATTTTAGTTGTATTCTTTCCTTTTTCCCATCTCCTTCCAGGTCCTCCCCATTTTCATACCCAACTAACTTTGTGTTCTTTCTCTCTCAGCAGCAACAGTGAACCAATAAGTCAGAAATTACAGAACAAAATTAAAAGCATACATAAGAACAGGAAGTCCATCTTGTACTGTCCTCTGGGATGTAGGGCTTGCCCTGGGGTCTGGTTGATACACCCTGTGACGCTCCATTGGAGAAAACTGATTTTCTCTTTCTCAGAGGCTATCAATTGCAAACAGCTTTTTGCTTAGGAGTGGAACTTTGTGTCTGCTTCTACTTCCCAATATTATAATTTTGTGTAGTTTGAACCTGTGTAATTCTTTTTTTTTTAAATAATTGAGTAAAACTGAAATTTATTATATGCCACAGTCGTCCTAGGGACCTCCATGCTATATATATAGCCTCTATGGTTCTATGGGTTGTGGTCTGATTGTTCTTTATTTTATATCTAGAATCCACCAATGAGTGAGTACATACCATAACTGTCTTTCTGGGTTTGGGTTACCTCACTCAGGATGATTTTTTCTAGTTCCATCCATTTGCCTGCAAATTTCATGCTTTCATTGTTTTTCTCTGCTGAGTAGTACTCCATTGTGTATATGTACCACATTTTTTTCATCCATTCTTCCGTTGATGGGCATCTAGGTTGTTTCCAGGTTCTGGCTATTACAAATAGTGCTGCTATGAACATAGCTGAGCATGTATCTTTATGGTATGAATCAGCATTCCTTGGGTATATGCCCAAGAGTGGGATGGCTGGGTCTTGAGGTAGTTCGATTCCTAATTTTCTGAGAAACCGCCATACTGATTTCCACGGTGGTTGTACAAGTTTACATTCCCACCAACAGTGGAGGAGTGTTCCCTTTGCTCCACATCCTCTCCAACATTGAACCTATGTAATTCTTAATGCATGCTGTTACAGTCTTCATGAGTTCATATGTGTCTCAGTCCTATTGTGTCTGGAAATTGCTGTTTGCTTGAAATTGTCTACCACCTCTAGTGCTTAGAATCTTTCTATGCTCTTCCTCATAGACATTCGAGGTGGGAAAAGAGTTTAATAAAGACATATTTAGGGTTAAGTGCCCTAAAGTCTCTCACTCAGCATATTTTCCATTTGTGGGTCTCTGTGTTAATACTATCTACTGCAAGAAGCTTCTCTGATGAGGGTGGAGTGATATTCTGATTTATGGGTGTAGCAATATGCTATTAACAATCATTTTGTTGATGTATTTCTTTAGCAGAATGGTGGCAGCAGGTTTTCCCTTACTAGTCATAGGGGTTCATTACCTACATAGTCTCAGGTTCTTGGCTACTTCAGCAGTGTTAGATGTAGGTTCTATCTCATGGAGTAGGCCTTAAGTCCAGTTGTTGGTTTTTGTTTTGTTTGTTTGAAGTGGTTGCATGCTCCCAGAACTTTGTGCCACTATTATACAAGTGTGTCTTGCAGGGAGGTTGTTTCCTTTTTTTGTGGGAAGGGATAGGAATTTTTGAGACAGTGTCCCTCGTGTAGCCAGTATGAGGATGGCATGGTGGCTTACACGTGGAGACAAGTGGATCTCTGAATTGAAGGCCAGCCTGGTAACATAGCAAGTTCCAGGGCTACGTAATAGAGAGACCCTCATCACAAACAAACAAACAAACCACCAGAATTGGGGGCCCTTAAGAGATGGTTTAGCTGTTAAAATGAATACTTCTCTTGCCTAGGACCTGAGTTCAGTTCCCGGCACTTGTGTTGATCCAAGGACATCTGAGGCCTCTGGCATCTGTAGATACCTGCCCTATGTGCACATACCTTACACACAGACATACACATATACATATAATTTAAAAATAAATTTTTGTTGTTTTAAAAAACCCGAGTGTGAGCTGGGTGGTGGTAGCACACACTTTTAAGGATTTATTTATTTAGTATGTATACAGTGTTCTGCCTGCATGTGTCCCTGCACGCCAGAAGAGGGCACCAGGTCTTACTATATAGGTGATTATGAACCACCATGTAGTTGCTGGGAATTGAAGAGCAGCCAGTGCTCTTAACCTCTGAGCCATCTCTCCAGCCCAGTGCACGCTTTTAATCCCAGTACTTGGGAGGCAGAGGCAGACAGATCTCTGTGAGTTCAAGGCCAGCCTGGGCTACAGAGTGAGTTCCAGGAAAGACGCAAAGCTACATGGAGAACCTGTCTCTGAAAACCAAAAAAAAAAAAAAAAGGTGGTTGCTAGATTCTTTAATCCCAGCACTTGGTGTTTTAGGCAAGATGATCACCTCAAGTCTAAAGCCAGCCTGAACTATGAAGCAAGACCCTGAGTATGTTGCCAGGTGATGGTGCCACACACCTTTAATCCCAGCACTTGGGAAGCAGAGGCAGGCTGCTCTCTGAGCTCACAGCCAGGGCTACACAGAGAAACCTTGTCTGAAAAAAACATGAGTATGTTACCTATAATCTCAGTAATTAAAACACAAGGTTAGAGAACTTGCTGTGAGTTCAAGACCAGCCTCCCGTACATATCAAAGACAGATTCTCAACTTCCCTTGGTTGGGTGGAGGGGTAAACTTTATTGATAACTACCAAACATCATAGAGGGAAGAAATTAAGAAAACCTAAAAAGGGCTTAGGGGATGTGGCTTGAGTATATGTAGCAAGTACATGGCTTGGGTTTAATCTATAGCACCACCCAAAGAAAAGAAAAGAAATAGGGAAAGAGATAAGTGTTCATGTACTTAAGTAATCTGTCCATGGCAGTGAACTCTCATGATCTGTATTCAGCAATTCAGTGAGTGCCACAGGTGTTTTGTTTCGTTTTAATTTTCAGAGCTGAGGACTGAACCCAGGGCCTTGTGCTTGCTAGGCAAGCACTATACCACTGAGCTAAATCCCAAACCTCTTCTTTTTGGTTTTTGTAGGTTCCCCTCCCCTCTACTCCTGGAGCTTGGGGGTTGGTGTTTTGTTTTACAGGTAGCAAGAAAGTGAGCCTGGACCAGCCTGGTGTACATAGCAAAGGCTACGTAGAGAGATCCTGTCACAAAAAAAAAAAAGCCAAATCAAAAGCAGTAATATAGATCAGAAGTACACTATAAGTGAACAGTGGGCCACCTAAATTGAGAAGGTACTAAAGGGCCTGGTCTGATTTTATTGAGACAGTCTCTTAGGCTATAGCCTAGATCTCATGGCAATCCTCCTGCCTAAGTTTCCTGAGTGCTGTGTTTAGAGGTTTTTCACAAAAACTTGAAAGACAGTTAGTAAATAAAAACTAGATATTAGATGGAAGAATAGCTTAAAGTTTACAGGAAAATAATTATAACACTAGAAATAATTTTCTAAGGAATTACTAGAATACTTAATTCTTAGGAAAATACAAATTAACTTAGAGATAAGCATGATGCTTCATACCTACAGTCACAGCTATTCAGGAGGCTAAGGCAGGAGGATCCCTAGAGCCTCGGAATTTGGGGGCCAGCCTAAACAACATAGTGAGACTTTGTCTTAGAGGGTGTTGGGGATGTGTGATAAAAAATAGTAGTAAGGAAGTAAACTATAATTAGTTTTCTAGTAATTAACATTAACTAGTCAGCTTAATAAAACACATAGAGGCCGGGCGGTGGTGGCACACGCCTTTAATCCCAGCACTTGGGAGGCAGAGCCAGACGGATCTTTGAGTTTGAGGCCAGCCTGGTCTACAACGCGAGATCCAGGAAAGGCACAAAGCTACACAGAGAAACCCTGTCTTGAAAAACCAAACACACACACACACACACAGATACTAGACAAGGTGATAGAGCTTCAGAGCAAGGAGGATGGCATAGCTTGTACTGGAAGAAGGGTAACAGTACTTACTATAATGCCAGATGGCAGAGGCTGTGCTGTATCACAGAACCAACTTAGGCCCGTTGGGAGCATAATTAATTGCTTAATATGTACATCATGCTTGTACATGTAGAAAGAAGTAGGTTTAAATATAACAATTGAAATAGGATGTTCATAGTCTGCCACACCGATAAGATCAACATGGAAAGGGAAGTCTCTCATCAATATATATAACAAAAAGGTTTTATATTTTTATCCCCATTGGAAAGCCAAGATGGTAACACTACTTACTTATGCATAGAATGAACATCAGTAAAGTTCACATAAGTGGATCTTTCATATCACAGTCCCTGCTTTGACAAGTGAGACTGCTTGTTAAGCCAGAGAGGTGTATTGACCTCTGGAGAGTCAGTGACTGAACACCATTCAAGGAGAAAGGAGCTCAGAGGCCAGGTTCTTGGACTAACCTGCGATGTTTTGTGTTTGTTACAGATGTTCCCACAAGCCTGCACTTCCAGAGCATGCTGAAGTCTCAGTGGCAAAACAAGCCTTTTGACAAGATCAAACCTACCAAAAAGTTTTCACTTAAGCACAGAGCACCCATGCCATGCAGTCTGTCGGATCCAGTTCGTAAAGACAGGCATAAGTTGGTCAACTCCTTCCTTACAACAGCCAGTAAGTTTCAGGGAACTAAGGAGTCCTCTGGAATCACTACTGCTGTATTTTATACCTTTTATATTCTCTAGTTACTGGTTTGCTGTGCCAGTATTCAGGGATTGGAGAAAGCATTTAGTTACCCAATACAGATTCAGCTCACAGCATACTTACCGTATCTGCTTGTTTGGATGCTCTCAGGTAGACTTTGGAAGCTATTTCAAATAGACAGAACCCAAAATGTTCAGTGACTAGCTAGTAGTAACATGATACTGGGTCCACCTCTGGGCAGGTTGATTTCTGAAATCTGGTATTAACATGTCTGTTTGTGACTCCCTGTCCCTGTCCAAGTAGCTGTTGTACCATTAACTAGACGATTGAGTCCCAAAGACTATCATGCTGCCCTGGGTATATAGCATTGGCCTAAGGAGAACTGAAGAGCTCAGAACTCAAATAAGATTTGAGTGAATGTACTTCACAGCTCTTTTTTGTTCCCCTCTTCAGAGCTGTCCCATCACCACCAAACCCGGCCTGACAGGACCCACAGGCAGCACTTAGACGATGTGGGGGCTGTGCCCATGGTGGAGCGAGTGACAGCTCCAAAAGCAGAGCGCTTGCTCAATCTACCGCCACCTGTCCATGACCCAAACCACAGCAAAATGAGATTGCGAGACCATTCATCTGAGAGAAGTGAAGGTAGGGCCAGGCCCGGCACCTCTACCTGCATTGGCACTTGCTCAGAGCTCAAGCTTCTCTGAAAATCCCCTATCCCAAGCTTTGTCCATTACTTCCTAGAAAGGCATAGCAGGGGGCACTATTGCTTCTAAATGCAGATCACTTCTTACTGTCACAGCATCTGCCCAGTCCCCTGTTTTCCATCAACTAGTTGCTGCAGCTTTTTATCCTCTAGGCTTAAAAAAGCATTTTTTTTTTTTTTGCCTTTAGTGTGTATTTCTGGCATTCCTAACATAAGTTAGAAGTAGAACTGGTTACGATATTCATTTAGCCATGTCTTCCTCTCTTTTCTGTTGACTTGTGCAGTGTTGAAGCATCACACAGACATGAGCAGTTCGAGCTACTTGACAACTACTCACCATCCACCACACAGCCCCCTGGTGAGACAGCTCTCCACCTCATCAGACACCTCCACACCCACCAGCTCGAGCTCACAAGTTGCAGCCAGCACATCTGTAAGTACCTATGTGGAGTTGACAGGACCTTCTACAGATTACAGGGCCCTCATAACAACTCTAGAGACCAATGTAGAGTATAGTTGTAGTACTTGACCTTCTTGGAGTTGTTTTTCATAGTAAAATGATTCTCTGCTGAGCCATGGGTAGAAAGTTTGCTGTAGAAGCAAGGGTGTGGGTTTTGTTGTTGTTGATGGGTTTGGTTGGTTGATTCCCACCTGCCCCCCTGGAGTAGTGCTAGGGTGCTGTTTATGGAAGCAAGGTCTACCTTGCCTACTTAGAAGGTCTAGAGGCAGGTTTTTTGAAGGTGCTTTGTGACTGTTTGGGATCTATTTCACCCAGAACTTGAATACCATAACCCTAATCTTTTTAGGCATTGAAGACAACAGTCAGTTTCCTTGTTTCTACTATTGATCACTGGCAGTGGTTCATTAGTAAAATGAACAGTAGGGTAGAAGGGAAACAGCAAAATCCATGCTTTTTCAGCTGTACAGAGCAGAAATATGATGGCATCCGGTTACTATGGCATTTTGTATATGCATAATGGAAGACCATGTAAGGCATACTACCTTGTGAATCCCATTCAGGAATCTCTTTGTATTAGCCATAGCAGACATAGTCTAATTAAACACATACCTGTAACAGCTGAGTATAGTTATCCAAACATCCCTTCTATAGTAATCACAATAACAAGTGTAACTATATTAGTAATATTCTGGTCCTGTGATTATTTACTAAACACTACTACTATTGGACTTGATGTTACAGGTCTGTAATTCTAGCACTCAGGGGTCTGAGGCAAACGGATCAGTGCACACACGTGCCATCCCATTTAATTCTATACTGTCCTTTGGTAAATAGATGGTATTATGAATCCTGATTTTGTGGACATGAAAACTAAGGCTTCACAGGGTTAAATGTATTTCATAAGGTGAGGCAGCTTGTAAGGGTTGTGATTGTGATTCAAACTCTTGTAGGCTGACTTCAGAGTCAGCTCTCTTCACCAGCACACCACACAGCCTTGACCTGAGAGAAGGGGTGTTGGAGAGGCTCTAAGCTCACAAAATGTGCTCCTGCCATCAGGTATAAATTCACATTGTTCTTTGCTCTTACGAATCAGACTGTCTTTTCCAAATAGCCTTCTTTTTTCACCTTCTCAACTCACAGACTTTGTCTGAATAGTGCATAGTATTCCTCCCACACTCAACCAAATACTAGCAAAGGGTTTCACATAATCAGATGATAGAGAAGAGAATAATTCTAATAATTAAAAATCTGAACTCTAAGGTCCACGACTTGGTAAGTCAGCATTTTTTCAAGCCCTAATATGTCTGGAGAGTGTTGACTTAGAACTAGATCATTTGGAATTCAATCTTACTAGATACAGATTCTATGCACAGCACTGTCCTAATCTGTTAGGCTTTTTTTGAGACAAGGTGTCTCTAGGTAGTCCTGGCTGTCCTGTAGCTCACTGGCCTCAGACTCACAGAAATCCTCCTGCCTCTGCCTCCCAGATGCTGGGGTTAAAGGCTTGCGTCACCACCACACCTAGCTCCTTCAGGTTCTGGTTCTTATTGCCTCATTTGTTCAGGGAATCCGGATTTAAACAGAAAGCAGAGAGAGTGATACACCAAATTTAGGTTGAGAAGCAAGGTGGTACCTGCACAAAGTGGGCAAGACAGGGGCTTTCGGGTATTTGTAGCTGTGCTTCACAGTGGTCATTGCTTGAATTAAAATCATCTTAGTGCTTTTTAAACAAATTGTGTTTGTTTTGTGTCTTAATATAGTGGCTTTTTAAAAAACCCTTTGAAATTTTTAGAAGCTAGGTATGGTAACTCTTAGGGCAGGTTAGGCAGAGTCCTGTTTCTTTGTGTTGTGAAACCAGATTTAGAAATGACTTGCTGTTCTCAATGCTCCCACCTCCCCTGTTTTCTGGCTCTAAATAGGAAAAAGTAGTTAAATTGGATTGAACGAGTGCTAGCAGAATGGGTTGTTCAAGTGGATAGAACAGGCCAGAGGCCTGAGATGTCTCGGAGAAATACATAGGTGTTTCTAGCGGGAGTTTTCTTCTTGACCAAGATAGAAAGCTGTCTGTCTTGGGGCTTCTTCAAGACTTATTTCTTGAGTGTCATAGAACTTCAGCCAAGAAGGTATGATAGTGACATAAACTTTTGGGTATGTGCTCACTTATGCTTACATGCAGAATTCAGCCAGGCAAGATTCCAAAAATCTCAACCATTTTAGTTAAGCCAGGTGGATTTCTGTGAGTTTGAGGCCAGCCTGGGCTACCAAGTGAGTTCCAGGAAAGGCGCAAAGCTACACAGAGAAACCCTGTCTCTAAAAAACAAACAAAAAAAAAAAATTGTGAAGTTATTGACCATCTAGTATTACTGACAAAGAAGGAAATTGAAAATTATGATGACCTGGAATCATTCATGGCACCATCCGAAATCCTGGGTTTGTTGTTGTTGTTGTTGTTGTTTTAATATTCTTACAGTGTCTTAAGATGATGGAGTGAATAAATTATCTTACCTTCCAAGGAGATAGATATAATGGTTAGAGGTAGTAGCTCATCTTCCTTACCCCTTGTGGGCTGACCACACTTGGTGGTTTGGGTATGAATGCAGCAGCCTCTTGGGTGTTTCCAGCTGTATTGTTGCCATGACAACATGTTTGTCATCCCACTGTTTCCCTATGGCCTCTCACAGCTCAATTAACAGGCTGTTTCAGGAAAGGTATTTGCTCTCCGGGTAGAAGCAGCTAATAGTTTTTCTTCTGTCCAAGAGATTCGATCATTTGGCTCTTTGCTTTATTCATTCTGTCTGTCTTTAAGACAGCGTCTCTCTATGTAGCTCTGGCTGTCCCAGAACTTGCTGTGTAGACCAGGCTAAACTTGAACTCACAGAGATCTGCCTACATCTGCCACCCAAGTGCTGAGATTAAAGATGTACGGCACTACACCTGGCTTTATTCATTCTTGGTGTCCTGTCTAGTGTAGATGCCTAACTCTGCTTTTGTTACTGGACTCTTGAAAGTCTTACTTCCCCAAAGGTTTAATGTTCCCACTTACTGTGGAACACATTTCCTTTTGGAGGGGAGAGGATGGAAGCTATAGACAGGTCTTTCTTTTCGGTTTTCTTCCACTCTTCTCTTTCTCCCAAAATAATAGAAGGATGAGAATAATGTAAGGGCTGAGAAGGTGGTTGGTACAGACTTAGCTGAAGAGTTGAGATCCTCAGGAAGAAGGTGTTTTCATGGCAGATAAGGTAAGGTGGTTTGTTAAGATGGGCCTGTCCTTTGAGCCTCTTTTCTGGTGAGAGAAGTCAATGCTTTTCATCTTAACTGTCACCACTAAGTGAAAACATTGTGTTCAAGAGCCAAAGTTGTTGACAAAGGAGAAGGGGTGAAACAGATTTTAAGATGAATTTTATTTTATAAGTTTATGAGTGTTTTGCCTGTATGTATATATGTGCAGATGTGTATCTGGTGGCTGCAGAGGTCAGAAAAGAATGTCATATCCCCAAACTGGGGTTACACACAGTTGTGAGCCACCATGTTGGTGCTAGAAATCTGGTCTTTCCCAGAGCAACCAGTGCTCTTAACCACAGAGCAATCCTCCAGTTCTGTAACAGGGAGTTTAGGATTTTAAAAGAGGAGTATTAGTAGAATGAAGGAATAGGAACCCCTAAATTGGTTCTAGATCTAGGACACCCACCTATAAAACCCAGCAGTTCTAGAGGGAGCCTTATGAAAAGGGGTTTACTCCTCAGAGCCAGCACCTGTTATCCTCTCTCCCCACCCCCACCCCCCAAGAACTCTGCTGCCAGAGACGGTCTGTTTAGATATACATTGATGCTGTGATGGACACTGCTACCCCGCAACCTGTGTGCATGGTCAGCCTGCCATATGACTGATGATTTTAAATTCGTAGCATTATATATCCCTTGAAACTTAAACTTTTGTCTTACAGCAGCCAGTGAGGAGGAGAAGGGGAGAGAGCTCATTTGATATTAACAACATTGTCATCCCGATGTCTGTTGCTGCAACAACTCGTGTTGAGAAACTACAATACAAAGAAATCCTTACTCCAAGGTAGAGCCCTATTCGGTCAGCTCCTGTCTCTCTTCCTATTGTCCTTTCTCTCCTGACCAAGCAGTCCCTATCCCTGGGTTGTTTTCTTTTTAAGAGTCTGCACTTGCGTGCACAATGGGCTATGGGTCTTCAAAAACAACAATAAAAGGGGGGGTCAACGGACATGGTAGCTCATGCCTATAATCCCAGACCTTGGGAGGCTGAGGCTAGACAGTCATTGCCAGGTTCAAGGCCAGCCTGGGCTATAGAATGTAGCCAGACTTAGTCTCCTTTTTTCTCTTTTCTTTTATTGTTAAATGTTATGTATTTATTTTATGAGTAGTTTTTTTAAATAATTTATTTTAATTTTATGTGCATTGGTGTTCTGCCTGTATGCATGTCTGTGTGAGGGTGTCTGATCTTGTACTTACAGACAGTTGTTAGCTCCCTTGTGGGTGCTGGGAATTGAACTCATGACCTCTGGAAGAGCAGTCAGTGTTCTTAACCACTGAGCCATCTCTCCAGTCCCTCTTTTTTTTTATTATTATTATTATTATTATTATTATTATTATTATTATTATTTGGTGTTGCTTCTTGCCAGACATGGATGGTACATGCTTACAGTCTTAGCAGTTGGGAGACCAAGGCAGGTGGATTGCTGTGGGTTTGCAGTCAGCTTGAGCTACATAGTAAGGCTGTTGTTTCACAAAGCAAAAGCAAATAAGGGGGTGAGGGGAGTTAGTGGAGCAGGGTGGGTGGGTGTTGGGTAGGAGTGAAATTATTTCTGTGTTAGCTTCTCTTATTCCATTGGATGAATCCACCAACCCAAGGTCACAACCTGGCAAGCCCCTCAGACTGTGTTTTAAAATACTGAATGTGTTATCTCAACTTCAAACCAGGTTTCTTGTAAATCTCTATTTCTAGCCTTTGTAGGCAAGTTGAGAGTCCGTGTAAAGAGCTGGCAATTCATGTATCCAGTTGTAAAAATTTTGAGAGTCTGACTGATATGTCCTATATGGTACCAATCGACTAATATTAAATAGTGTTTATTTAAATAGTTAAACTTTTACTTGAGTTTGACAGTCCTACCAGTCTCAACTTGCTGCTTCTGTTTCTACCCTTTGGGGGTATTTATTCACATATGGGCTTCATTTAGAGGTAGGGAAGTCATAGCCTGCCTACAACCCCATCATTTTCTTTTCTTTTTTTTTAATTCCTGCAGCTGGCGAGAGGTTGATCTTCAGTCTCTGAAGGGGAGTCCTGATGAAGAGAATGAGGAGGTAATACCATAGTTATACTGTCTTAGAAGAACACACACACACACCAGTCATGGGTACATACACTCAAAATGCCTTAAGACATAAGGGTGTCAAACTCGGGAATCGTATTCTTTCTGTGACTAGAAGCATCTACAACGGGGAAAGACTGGTTCTAGAATTATTCTTCCAGTTCATAACCTTAGCTTCCTGGGGAAAAGAGATCAATGAAACTGCTCTGTTGCAGATCGAGGACCTATCGGATGCAGCCTTTGCCGCCCTGCATGCCAAATGTGAGGAGATGGAGAGGGCAAGGTGGCTGTGGACCACAAGTGTGCCACCGCAGCGTCGGGGCAGCAGGTAATGGGCAGGCACAGGTTCGCAGAATATATTGAGGGAAAGAGGGTGGTAGCCAGGAAAAGTATGATTATAGGCCTATTGGTTCTCATGGTGATTTAGCCAGAGGAGTTTAGAAGGCCTCACAAGTTGATCCTCTTTTTGATGAGGACTGGTTTTGCAATCTTAACTTTGGACGGCTCAGTAGGTTGAAAGTGTCTGCCCTCCAAGTTTGATGAACCTGAGTTCAATCACTGAAACCCACAGTGGAAGGGAAGGACCATTACCTAAAAAGTGTCCCTTTACCTCCACGCCTTATGCTACAGCATGGTGCTCGTGTTCATTAATACCCTTCCCACACACACACAAAAAAAAAACCAAAACAAACTAGAAAGACAGTGGCAGCAGACCACCTATTTCTCTTTGACTTGTTTTCAAAACCTCAGCTAGTCCCTGGTATGAATTCACTAGGCAGGACTTTTTCTTAGGCTCATGGTTACAGCTCTTAGCTGTCCTGTTTTATACCTACCTATGTGGGTAAAAGTGGGAGCAAGTATAATTAATAAATCTTAGAAGAGCATCATTGCTGTCAGTTCAAATTAACTGCTTTGGTGTAGATGCTTTTTTCATAACTCTTCTCGCTACTCTGCAGAAAGAAACAGAAGAAATGCCTATGATCCCCAGGTCATACTTATTTGTGTATTCCTTGGTTCATAGGTCTTACAGGTCATCAGACGGCCGGACCACCCCGCAGTTGGGCAGTGCCAACCCCTCCACCCCTCAGCCTGCCTCTCCTGATGTCAGTAGTAGCCACTCTCTGTCAGAGTTCTCCCACGGTCAGTCTCCTAGGAGTCCCATTAGCCCAGAACTGCACTCAGCCCCCCTTACCCCCGTGGCTCGGGACAGTCTGCGACACTTGGCCAATGAAGACACCCGTTGCTCCACACCAGAGCTGGGGCTAGATGAACAGGTGAGGGGTGTCTCCTTTAAATGGGGGGAGAGTGTGAGAGGAGGCAGCATGTAGTGAAGGCAGAGCCTTCCTCTCCATTGTTTTGAAGTGCAGTAGAAGTGTGCTGGTCATTGTTCAAAGGGTACCCACCTCGGGAGGGGTGGTCTTAAACTTCTCCCAATAATAGTAGACAGACTGGTTATCAACTCTGGGCCACAGTTTGAGAGCAGGGCCTTGGTGCAGGAAATAAATGAGCTGAAACTAGGTCATCATCACCAGATCATCTTATCTGTCCACAGTCTGTCCAACCGTGGGAGCGGCGGACCTTCCCTCTGGCTTACAGTCCCCAGGCAGAATGTGAGGAGCAGCTGGATGCACAGGACATAGCAGCCCGCTGCACTCGCCGCACCTCAGGCAGCAAGACTGGTCGGGAGACAGAGGTGGCACCCACCTCACCTCCTGTTGTCCCCCTCAAGAGTCGGCATCTGGCAGCAACAGTCGCAGCTCAGCGCCCAACTCACAGATGAGCGGGAAATGAGACTCTATACAGACTCACTACTATTGGCATTAAAGCTTCAGAAATCTCTGCGTTTGATATTCAAACATCATATGCTGGAATTTTCACAGTTTTTAGTGAATTTAAGGAATTTAGATCCTCCTTTGGTTGGTTTGGTTTTTGTTGTTTCTGTTTTCTTGTTTTGTTTTCATGTCACACCTGAGCACTTCCTCCAGTTAGCAGACAAGTTCAGGAAGAGACCCTGCTGGCCTGGTCCTGCATATCCTCTGCACTGTTGGATCACTGGACTTCCCAATATTAGATGATCACCCTCTCTCTCTCTCTTGCACCTGTGCGATAGGGTATACCAGCCAGATGGCAGCAGCTAGAAAGCTCCAAGTCAGCCCAGCCTCCTTAGGTTAGGGTGGATAGAACAAGAGCAGTCTGGGCTCTCTATCTTAGCCTTCCCTCAGTCTGTTGCTTGGCTCTAGCTGGGCACCTCCTTGGTCTTCTGTGCTATAGCACCCTTCCAGCCAGCTTCTTTGCTCTGTTGGCCAGTTCTCACTGAGCTCTGGGCCAGCAGTGCAGCTAGCTTTTCCTTGTCACCTGGACCTTGAAGACCTGTTTTCAGTTTCATCTGCATTTGGTCATCGTCTTGGCTCCTTGACTGCAGGACCCTGCTGCAGCTGCTCAGGTCACCCTGTTGTACCCTTCATCTTCCTCTCCCATCCATTCACACAGACACGTTAGTCCTTCCGCTCAGCATCTATGACGATAGGGTTTGGATTGCTTAACCCTTCCCACTCTCCTACAGTCTAGGAAGTCTGTGTGGAATACACAGCTTCATCACTTCTGTATCATGTTTTCACTGAGTCAGTCACACATCATGTTTCTTTGACGTCCCTGTCAGACGGTCACTTAGACTCTCCCTCTTGGCCTCCCTGGCCTGTGGAACACTGTCTGGTCCTAGCTGTGGTTTCCATTGTTCCCACCAACCTCCTGTTAGCCTCATGCCTGTCTCATGTATACTCACATCACCAAAAAAAGGGGAGGGAGAAAGACACTTTCTTTTTCTGCCATTTTATAATCATACAAAAATAGTAGGCAGACTGCTTAATGGTTGGGGTTTTTTCACAATTTTCAACATTAGTGATTTTTTTTCTGTTTGCAAGTTAAAAGGTTTGTCATTGTTTCTTTAAACAACAATAATGCACCGTATCCCTATGCATAAAGTGCTTCTTCTATTTATAAGGTTGAAAATTCTGAATAACCCTTTTAGCATTGTAAAAAAAACAAAACAAAAAAAAACAAAAAAAGGCAAAAATTTAAAAAAACTTGTATTTTGTAAATATTTTCTTTTCCTGCTTTGAGCTGTGTAATGGCAGCGGACATGTAGCTGTCTTTGTTCTATAGAAATGCTTTTCTTCAGAGAAGCTGATCTTTGTTAATGTCTTGATTCTGTTCGCAAAGCACAGACTAGTGCTTAAAAAAAAAAGGAAGGAAAAATGAAAAAAATAATAAAAAAAAAGATACAGAAAGTCATGTGTCTGGCTTTTCTTGATATACTGGACTGGTGTCTCTGGCGAAGGTGGCAGCCTCAGCATTTTCTGGGGTTAGGAGACCTGCTAGGTAGGTGTTGTGAAGGGTGTTTCACTAAGGTAAGATATATCTGCTCATGAGTAAAGCAGTTGATTTATTGCCTCTCATTGTTCCTTTCTTTAAGAGGTAAGCAGTGTAGGATTTGAAAGTTCTCTTTAATGGGGATTTTCACTTTTCACCATCATTCTTTGCAGGGGGAAATCAATGAAAATGTATGTAATTTGTATGGCATCTGAGTTGGTTCTTGTCACCTGGGAAAGATCACAGCTACGTCTAAGGAGGCTAAAGGCCTGATTCTGTTGTACAGGATCAGTGAGTAGATGAACCTTCTTCTCTAAGGCTCAAAGCTGTTCTTCCTGGGACCATTTTCCTGCTTGTGTTGCTTCTATATGCATTAATATACGATATCCTGAACTAAATCAGTTGCCTACAGAGGCCAGGCACACTAAGGGGAACTGCAGAAGACAAGGATTTTAAGATTGGAAGTCTAAGGACTATCATGACCTTGACATACACACTACCAATGAACTCAGAGTAAGGGAGATGACCCAGTGAATGAAGTGCACAGTGTGAGGGCCTGAGTGAATATAAAGCCAGGCATCTGTAATCCCAGTGTTGCTGTGAGATAGGAGGCTGGGACTCAAGAATCCCTAGCAGCTAGGAAGTCCAACAATATAACATGGCGCATGTGCAGGAGAACAGTGTCTCAGGGTGGACAGACTGACACCCAAGGTAGTCCTTTGGCTACATGCTGTAGCACTGAATAAAAAATTTGGGCTGAGGATGGGATATTGCTTAATTGGTAGAGTGCTTGTCTAAGCATACATGAGGCCCTATACCTCATTAACAGCATAGTGTACCCCTATCCCAGTACTCAGGAGGATCAAAGCCTGTCTCAAAAAATATGGGTTACTTGTTTCCCTTTCAGATACTGCAAGCAAGAAGCTGCCCTATCCCTAGCAGAAATACTCCTTGATCTATATACAGTAAGATTACCAAGTATGAGGGCAGCAGTACCTGTGTATGCATGTTGGGTTTGCATCTTGGGCTTTTGAGTTTGCTTCAGCCCCAGGCCCCTCCATTTAAGTTCCAGGCATGAAGGATCTCATACACCCCACCCCAAACTTCTTCCGTTCAAATGAACTGGCACAGGCCCTAGAAACTTGAATGTAGCCTTGTGAGTTCAGCCAGAGAGTACTGATTGTCTGAGGGTAGTTTGCCAAAAGTGGGATATGAGAAGGAACCAAGTCTGTACTCTATATCTTCAGGACCCCAGAAAACTGTCACTCCAATGTCTGGCTTTTTGTTTGTTTTTTCCACACAGTGTTTTTCTATGTAGTTTTGGAGCCTATCCTGGAACTCCCTCTGTAGACCAGGCTGGGATTAAAGGTGTGTGCCACCACCACCCAGATAATGTCTAGCTTTTACTTTAATTTCCTGTTGTGAATTTTCCAAGGGTGGACAGGGACTTGTAAACTATTGTTTTCTTGTACTTGGAACTCATGAACAGAGATTTTGTTTAATCAGAGTAATAACTTTATTCCCAAATTCACTTTTACAGCAACAGTCAGTGTAAATCATTTGTTAAAACACAATACACTATATGGACATTCACAGACAGGAAGCTAAGCTAAGCTGATTTCATGTCCCTCCCTCCCTCCCCCCCACCCTCAAAATCACCAAAGAAATCATGGGACTTGCAAGCACTGGAGATCATGCCCAGCACAGTAACTGCACAGGCTACAATCCATCAGGAGGGTGAGACTGAGATACTGCCCAAAGTAACCCTTCCAGAAGCCAGAGAGAAGGTGGAAGGCTCATAATGCCACAGACCTATAGTTGATTACCATCTCTCTGCCCTCGTCCCCACTTACTTTACTGGAGAACAGACTAAAGGAAGAGGTCTTGGCCACTGCTAGTAATGTAGGCTGTGGATCTGAAGCCAATCCAGAGGTGATACTGATGTGCTAATGACTTGAGAGGGAAGGAAGCCAGGGTTTTAAGGAGGCATCATTGTGGGCTCTGGATACCACAAGAAGGCAGCAGGCAAGAGTAGTTTATAGATTCCTTCACAAACCTGGGAGCTGCACCTGCCTGGGAAGGCAGGGAACTAGCTGGCTGCCTCTGCCTTGGTAAAGCCTATCAGTGGGACAACCAAGCCTCCAGACCAAAGCCTCTTGGCACCTCTTCTCTAGCAAGTGGTCAATATCACAAATGAGGTCACAGATGGCTACACTCCAAGGCTTCTTTGCCCATGTGAACTATGTTAACATGTTGCTCCTCCCCCCGCCCCCTACAGCACAAGCAATCTCAAACAGATACAGTCTTACCATTGAAGTCAATTTAAATGGAACTATTGATAAAGTGAATTAAGAGCTTGGAGGAACCAGGCATATGGTATACCCTATCTAGCCCACCCAAAGATCTGGAGTGGGGAGGCATGGAAAGAAAGGACAGATGCTGGGCCCCTGGAGATTGTCCTCACTGAAGTCACAAGCCAGAATCCCTTTGTAAACTGCCTGTCAGCACTGACCTGGTCACTCCAAATCATGATTTTGGAGCTGACCACCCTACAAGAGATATGGCAGAGTGCCCCCATTCAAGGACAAGAACTGCAGAATGGGCAAATGGATGTAAGAGATAAAACCAAAATAGGTAGCCATGATGAAGGGACCACAGACCTTCAACCACACTTCCTTTATCTCCATCAGACCCTTCATTTCTAAGGACAGTTGAAGTCCATCAGCAGTGGGGAGCCTCACCATAGGTAGTTCTGGGTGCACAGTTCTTTCATGGGAAAGGCTGGCTGCTTCCTTCTCCCCTCCACATTGTCCTTATCTGTACCCAATCCAAAAGTGATAGAACTGGGCCTGCGGTTCCCCTAAGCTCCTAAGGCCTCTTCCCTGCAGCTATAGGAGATGATCATGCAAAGTCAGTGGGCTGACACCTTGGAAACAAAGGGAGTCTCCTAAGATGTCCCCTTCCTCAGCTGGCCGAAGCTTGGAGAGGGCCCAGGGATGTCTTCTGGAGAGTCATGGGATTTCTAGGGCCACAGCTCTCCCAGCTGGCACCGATTGCCCTTTTTTTTTCTCCTTTCTCTTGTGATGCAGTCTTACTAGACCATCTTTCATGGCTGCCGTGGGACATGAGGCTGTGATTAGAGGACCATCTTCACTCTGCAAACAGGCCAGCTGGAAAGCTCTCCCTGACAGGTGGGGCCTGCTGTCTCTGGCAGCTGGAGTCTAGCTGGTCCTGTGCTTCAGGCCTTGGCAGCTAGGAGACCTCCAATGTCACAATCCAGTGTCTGTGAGGTCCCAGATGCAGAAGAAAACCTTCAAAGCATGGGCTGTCCTAGCAGGGAAGCACTGCACTGGCCTGGAGCCGAGTCCCAGTGGAGACAAGAAATACCGAGGACCTCCATCCCTGGTGGTGAGCTAGAACCTTTCGACAAACAGTCCAAGATACATGCGTCCTTTTTTTTTTTTTTTTCCGTTTTTCTTTTTTTCTTTTTTCTTTTTTTTTTTTCTTTTCTTTTCACTATCATAGTCACTCTGGTGAACCCAGACGAACAAACAAATCCAACTACAACACAACAGGGTACAGACAGGGAGGGTAGGGCTGTATCTATGGAGATGTCTGGCTGCTCCAGCAGGGCAGGCAGCACCACTTCCATGGGGACTGGAGGAAAAACATTTCCAGGGGGTATGTTCCCCAAATTGGGGTATGGAGAGGGCTGATTACGTGCACGGGGACTTAATGGCGGCTGGGCTCTGGGAGGCTAGCGATCACGAGCTGGGGTGGAAGCGAAAGATGGGAGGAGCGTGACCCTGCCCTGGGATTCTTGCCTGCTCACACTGGTGCTAGCATTTGGCACCTGACTCGCTGCCTCCAGCTCAACCCGAGAAGAGGGCCAGGCCTAGGAGGCAACCACTATAAAGTTAAAAAAGAGCAGACAGAGGTGTCCAGGGTTATCTCCAGGCACACTGGTTGGATTCGTAGGACTAGAGACTGAGCCCCAAAATCCTTGCCTTCCCAGGACTCCACCTCTTAGTGTAGAACAGGGACTACCCACATCTACCCAGGGGCCAGAGTAGGGGCTGGGAGAGGCGGAGCACTCAGGACAGTGAGACACGATGGGAGACGGCAGTGACTGGCTCTCATGGCAGACGTGGGTGTGATGGACAGGTAGAGGGGCTGCAGTGGCTGTGGGAGGGATGGGGGGCCTGGAGCCATCGTCCCAGAATACCCCACCCTCACACTGCAGAAGTCCCAGAGGACCAGGCTTGAGAACAGGCAGATGTCCCCCAAGAGGCACAAGTCCTTACAAAGAACTGGTTAGCCCTAATGTCCCAGGTCTGTGAAGTGGCCCAATCATGGCTGCAGAAATCCAGAACTCAGCAAAGAGGTTCTTCTGTGAGAGGAGGGCAAAGCCCCTCAGCTCAGGACTCCCACCCTGCAGAGAGGGAGGAAGAAGCCAGTGCCCTGCGATGTCAAGGCCAGCCTTCAGAGACCCAATCGACAAGGTGCCACTTTCTGGCCACCTTCCTTCGGCCCCCTGTGTCTTCTCCCACAGGCTGCCCTACAGAAGGGGCACAGGGACCCACAGCACTCTCCAGGGCCTTACCCAACAGGCAGCTCTGCCATCTAAGACTGACGTGAGCAGCTGAGGTTACCTGTCCTTCCAGGAGCCAGTGTCCTCTCTCTAGCCTGTCTAGCCTTCCTCACCCTCCCCTCTGACTCCCAGCCCACCCATCCCTCAGCCTTCGCTGCCTCAGCCCTCCTTCACATCCACACTGGTAACATCACCTGCCTAGGGCTCCACGAACACACCAAGTTTCCAATCTATTGTTGCTGCCACTGTCCCTGACGCCCCTAGGATGGGGCTGCGGGCAATCAGTTGCCCTAGTCCCTCAGAACTCCCCAGAAGCAGCCTCCAGGGCCTCCTTCACCCTCTAATACTCAAAGAGGGGGGGTGGGGTGGGGATGGGGGAATCAATAGCAATTGCCCAAGGAAATGTTGGGTTTGGCCATGTTTTTACGTGTTTTTCTTAAAAAATATTTTATTACTAGCCTACAAATCAATTTGGAAAGATGAAATTGACTCTTATTCCCATCACTGATTTTGAAGTCCCGAGCCAAAGCCGAGCCACAAAAGCAGGTTAGGTGACAAGCCGGTCAGCCGGTCTGTGAGGAGCAGCGGGGAGGGCAGAGGGCGAGGGGCCAGGTCATTCTTTTTTTTTTTTCCACACTCACTCTCTCTTCTCTCCACGATTACTGACCACCCCAGGGGCCTGATCACAAACCCTGCTTGGCCAAAGAAGCGGACACTTCGTCGGCTAGTGTGGCGAGTTGTGGGGAGTCCACCATGTTGATGCTGCCCGTGGAGGACACGTTGCTGAGGTGCCGTGGAGATGTGTCCCCAGACACCACAGGTGACTTGTACACGATTTCTGCTCCATGGTCCGTCTTGGCTTTGGCATTCTCCCGGAAGGTCAGCTTGTGGGTTTCAATCTGCAAGAAGTATAGGGTGAGGTGAAAATCAATGCTGGGGGAAGCAGACAAACCCTGACTGTCTACACACCAGTCTGTGGTGGGAGGAAAACGCTCTTTTTTTAAAATTAATTAATTAATTAATTTTCATTCATCCCCCCCCCCTTTTTTTTGGATACAGGTTTCTCTGTGCAGCCCTGGCTGTCCTGGAACTTGCTCTGTAGACCAGGCTGACCTGGAACTCAGAGATCTGCCTGCCTCTGCGTCCCGAGGGCTGTAAGGCATTTGCCACCACACCTGGCTATACATTTATTCTTGAAACAGGCTCTCTCCTGGAATCCTCTATCCAGCTGAGGATGACCTTGGCCTTTGGATCTTCCTGTCTCCTTATCCCCAGCACTGGAATCACAGGTATATGCCGCCACACCTAGTTCATGCAGTGGCAGGGGTCAGACCAGGACTCCCTGCACACTAGGCATGCACTCTGTTAACCAACCTCCCCAGGAGCACCACCCTCCTTATTTGTATTGTTCATTCTTTTTTTTTTTTTTTTTTTGGTTTTTCAAGG